TCCAATATATTGTGTTGGAAATTGCAGTTCAAACTTGTCAACTTCATAATAGTGAAAGTTTATTGCAAATACTTGCCCAAGGGCTAATTGCAGTTACAAACAACATAAGGAAGAAAATACAGTGGTATGTGAGACTATATCTACGTCTAGCATTATACTATATTCTACAACATACATGGCAACTACTAGTTTTACTGGGTTTGACTTCTTCTTTTTAGGCAATGGAAGACGAATTTACCCACTTCTTCTATAATGTGTGGGTTCTTTGATTTTAGTAGTGAAATTGTTTTTTCGTGGTAGGGAATGGTGGGGAAGTAAGGGAGCATTTTGGACACGGTGCAAAATAATTGTTTTCTGATGTCGTCATAAAATGGACAGTTAGAGATGAAATGAATTTCGTCTTCCACTGCATTTGAGGGGCAATATTTACAAATTCTCTCCGACACAGGCAGTTTCGTATATCGCTTTTTTTTAAACACTGTTTATTCAAATCGTGAAAGCAAGTACAGGTAGAAGTAAATATGCATACACAGCTACTTTTAACAACTTTTACAGCCATATCCCCAAAATACACGAACCAATCACAAAGAACAGTCACTAAAAAAGATGTCTAAATCACTTAGACACAACAGGTCTTTATATCCCCCTTTTAATGATAATAAAGCAATTATCTTCTTTCTCCACAGCTCCCGAGAAGTTCCCAGACGCGATGTTCGTGACGCACAACCACAGTGACCACGCGGGAGAGCTGCCCCTGGTGCTGGGAGGAACCGCCCAGCGGCGTGTGCTGGCCGGCAAGCCGAGAGTCAAGCTCCTCTGTGGACCGAAGGTTCTGGAACCGCTCAAAGTCCATCGTTTGAGCGAGATGGCGTATCAGATGAAACCTGTAAGTCCACACCTACCAAACCGACGGTATCAGCATGAAAGTTCATCTGAGTTGGTAAATTACATTATGAAAAACTTAAACTGTTCTCCAACTCAAAATTTGACTCACCAGAAATTTTCGACTGAATCACTCAGTCTTCCTCAGCTATCTGACCCAAATGCTGTGGACACGTGATTTTTCCCACGTGTGACGTCAGCAAAGGGTCAAAGGTTGTCTGAAGTCGATATCGCCCCCCCGTCCACAGCATTTGGGTCAGATAGCTGAGGAAGACTGAGTGATTCAGTCGAAAATTTCTGGTGAGTCAAATTTTGAGTTGGAGAACAGTTTACGTTTTTCATAAACCGACGGTATATATAGGAAATGAGAGCGTATATGCCCACTGTCCTTGGTGCTGAATGCCTTCTACTCCTAGTACATTTCCAGTACTTCCGTAACAATGCTGGAACGCTAAAGAAAGCATGAGATTTTTGTACTTGAGTTATATAACTATTCATTAGTGATAATATCTTATTATTGATTTCTTGGGCGTTGAAATCAGCCCTTTAGGCCATGTTGATTTGATTATATGGATGACATCCTCCGGGAACCCCAAAATTTATGAGCGCGTGCGAATAAAAAAAAGTTTTGCAAAAAAAAAGTTGTTTTCATTATGAAATCTACGTGGTCATGAGGGTTGAACAAATGGGACAGAATATGGTTTGGCGAATAATCTAGTCTTCAAGTTCATTTCTTTACAATTTCGTCTTTTTTCGTTTGATTTTGGCATTCTACGACATTGGTATGGTTTTTTTTGTAACTTACGGTATATTTTTGCTTATTTTGCAACTGTTTTGTACGATTTACAGTATGATTGAAAACTTTTTTTTTTGAAACGGCCGAAAATTCATGCGCGCGCGGATGTCATCCATATAATCAAATCAACATGGCCTAAAGGATAATGACCCTACCTTCTGCCAACGATGTCCGATAGTTTCCCCCACTGAAAAAGCAATACACACGTCTCCATTTATTTCATTTATTCATATCAGTATGAGGCACATGTACATGTAACATCACACTCTGATGTATGCATTTAGCCCCATGGGCATGAACATGCAATTAAAGATTCATATCTATGACAACAATTTTTTGTAGAAAACATACATGGTTAATTAAGACAGTAATATTTAAATACCTACCATAAAACTCCCAAGAAACACACCAATGAAGGTCGCACTGGTCAGGTATCCGGCATAGTACCCTAGCCGAGAGGGATACATGGAGATCATAGATATGCCAAAAAGCAGTTACTCAAGCAACTGGATATGATTTTAGAAACGGTCAGACGTTTCAACTAGTATCCACTAGCTTTCGTCAGTGACCGAGAGACCAGAGGAGAAATGCAGGTTTATAAGCACTAACTATAGATTGATATGGAAATAAAGTGAAGACATTTTTTTGAAGTCGAAAAGGGAACAAAAGTAGGACAAGTCAAGACAAGATAATGCAAATTAGTTATTAGTTATTTGCATATCGATCAATTGTTAGTGCTTATAATTTATAAACCTTCATTTCTCCTCTGGTCTCTCAGTCACTGACGAAAGCTAGTGAATACTAGCTGAAACGTCTGACCGTTTCCAAAATCATATCCAGTTGCTTGAGTAACTGCTTTTTGGCGTATCGTATTACCTGGATGTCTAACCTTCATCGACATATCATAGATATGTTTACATAGACCTTCATCTGCTTATTTCACGTTTTCTTTATTGAATCAATATATATGTTTTCCTAATGAAACAGATATTCGAAAGAAACCAAGGCCTAAGTTGTCTAAAATCAAACATCATATGTTTGTCGACGTCAATAAAATTGAAAATGTGCATAAATTAACCCATAATTAGGTATGAATCAACACCTATTTATGCATACATTAAAATATTTGATTGCATTTCGTTAATTAACTAAAATGTTGCATAAAAGTGCATGCATCTGCAACAATTTGCATATGTAAATAATTTTGCATAAATTAGCATAATTTGATCCAGATCACCCTCTCTTCTACTTGAACTTCCGTATAATTAAAGAACGCCAATGATTCATATTGAAGCTGTATGCATACGGCGAATTGTTTATTTCTGCTCGATCGAAGCTAAATGCGATGTACCTATCTGGTATACTCTTTAGGTAGGGAAAGAAGTCGTGTGTGAGGAACGGGAGAAATGGGTGAATGGTGCTTCCAGCGATGGACCCTATCGACAGGAGCACCCCTAAAATTGCGACCTGAAACAAAAGACAACATTAACTGTAACTGGCCAAGGTATACATTAGACTCATAGTTTATATCGTAGTATCGTAAGAATCAACATTGACATATACACGTAAATAGCTCTTGTGTTTTGCGACAGTGCAATGAAAATATGACAACACTGCAAATAGGCATACGGAACCGTTATATGCAAATGTTAGCAACACATAAACACAGGATCTCAAAATAGAATGATATCCTGGGAGCATCGATTATTCGGACGAGCAAAAATGAACACAATGTCACTTTGATTTTTGCCTTTGGAAAGAAGGTTATATTTTCAGTGCCGTTTGTCTGTATGCTTGTCTATCTGTCCGTATAAATACGTAGACATTATTACTTGAGAAGTTGAGGCCCGATTACCGTTAGAACAATAGGTTGTTAGTATATAGCATGATAGCTGTAAACTTTAGGTTGAACATAGTTTTCGACGGTATGAGATCGCGGAATTCAGAGTTTAACTGTGTCGATTTCAGAACTGAATGTGGCAGTCGTTGAAGTTGTTATAATTGTCGCCGACGTGTAGAAATCATAGTCATATTTTGTGAGCATTTTTCAGAGATACGTGAAAAGTAAGCCTGGATCAAGAAGGTAAAAAATCAAGCCTGATTTTTTAATCTCCGAGACATAACGTCATTACAGCAGTAGTGTACACTGCGTAGTAACAAAAATAGAAAATTAATTTTGCATGCCTAGTCTATTCTGCGTAACATTTAGTCGAATATCGGCATGGAAAGAAGTCACTGTGCCTACCCTGTAACTGCCAGCTTTATACACACATAAGATGAATTCAAATAAGTATTCGCAATATCTTCACAGTACCCTCCTCACGGCCACCTTACTAGAAACATACGCTAGCAGACGCCACCTCACACATGTATACATACCTGTTTGACCGGAAATTGGCGCCACAGCGCTCTGATGTTACCAACCATGTTTACAAACCCGGAGTACACACAGGTGAGCACAGGTATGGATATAACGACACGTCACCAGACACGGGCGTCCTGCAACGATCAGTTTGACAGCCGGCCGTCAGCACTTGGAATAATCTTATGATCCGATCATACGATGCGCGGTCTTTCCTCGACTGAAATTAGGTCCTAAATTTGTCAAACACAGAGAAGTGCAGTGATCGCCGCCGATCCGACATCACAGAGCGCCGTCCAACATCCTGGATGTAACGAACCGTGTGATTGGAGCACACCCATGCCATAGGTTGATCGGAAACAAGGAGGTTAAAAATCAAAAGGCTTGAATTTGTTATGGTAGGATAGGTTACGCTCAAGGTTCGCCTTGATCACGCCAGCCCGTCTGGCGCTGCTCTCGTGGAGGCTTGGAGGCTTCTCCCTCCAAAGGGGGGATGCCTTTCCCAAGGGCACAACGTCGGGGTGCATGTTCGGACATATCCGGGATCGAACCCGAGTCTCCTTGTTTGAGCGCCGAACGCTCTACCACTACGCCACACGACGCCGGCCACGACACGTTTATGTATATGATTGTCAACATGTGACCTGTATTTAGCCCAGTGGGGCAAAAATGTACAAGAGAGGTCTTCATTCATTATTATCATATAGCCGACGTATGAGAAAGCTCCATTTCTCATCCAAAGTGGTCGGTTATTACAATATTATTAACATGACAATGTAAGAAATACAAAAAAAGAGACACGTGTTATCATATATGTTAATGTAAATCAGTCCACAAACTTTGTCGGCCAAACAAATATGAAACGTCCATGTAAAAAAGGGCGTTTTTTACATTCAACTGTCCTTTAGAAACTTTCTAGAAAGAACCAGGTCCCTTTCTATCACATATTACCGAACTCTGATCGTCAGATATGTAATAAAACGAACTTTACGCAATGATAATGACCACAGGTACAACACAGCATACCTATCCAGTAGATTTGCTGCGTTGACTGGGAAGTATACCTGAAAGTGAAACTCTCCTGGTGCGACACGAGTACCCCATGGGGTATATCTCTCTCAACGTGGGTTACCACAAATGCGGGTAACTTGTGTCAAGCATAAATTTTGGATAGTGGGGGTTCAGCTTGCCCCCGCTTCTTAATAATGAAATAAAATACATTTATTGTACATTCATGCCACGACGGACTAGGCACAGGTCAAGACTTAACAGACACATAACAAACGTATGTAGAAATGTGGAGACAAAAGATACACTACTGCTTGACTTAGACATACATACATAAGGAACATACAAGGGTACTATACTAGGCTAATACAAAGTGTTCTAGTTACTGAGTTAATACAGGGTGGTCAAATTCTTCTCGCTTTTTTATACAATGGAAAATGTTGGAACAGATCATGTTTGTGATACAGGGTTTGTCTAGACGCATCAAAAATATAAATCTATCGTTTGCATTTAGTATGGGAACTTCTCTTTGATATGCTTAAAAAGGACAGATCTTTCATTAGAATATAAAGTACAGTCTAAAATAAAGTGTTGTTCGTTTACTATTCTATGAAAGCAGCCTCAAACACGCCGAAAATCCAACTCCCCGCACGGGCGGCATTGTCATACCATGTGCTGATATACCGGTTTTCAGGAACAAGAATGTCCTTGCCAGCTAACCTATGACATGACCGCGGTCCAATTACAGGGTTTGTTGCATTCAGGGGTGTTGGACGGCATTGTGTACGCGGCGTCATGATTGGTGAAAATAAATGCACAGGAGAATAGTCGGAATGTCCACCACGATCAGCTGTTAAATTATTGCGATAATGGTAATTACCGGTTCGACCAATGAGAGAGTGGCTCCATGTCTGCTAATCATTTGCATGTCTATGTTTTGACGAAGGTGGGCGTGGCTTTACGATCAGTCCAGGACCTGCCAGTGATTGTCTAATTTAAGACTAATTCACTTAAGGTCAGTCGAAGAAAGACACACAGCGCATCGTATGATCGCGTGCTGACGGCCTATCAAACTGATCGTTGCAGGACGCCCGTGTCTGGTGACGTGTCGTTATATCCATACCTGTGCTCACCTGTGTGTACTCCGGGTTTGTAAACATGGTTGGTAACATCAGAGCGCTGTGGCGCCAATTTCCGGTCAAACAGGTATGTATACATGTACGAGGTGTCGTCTTCTAGCGTCTGTTTCTAGTAAGGTGGCCGTATACGTAAGACAGGCACTGTGAAGCCATTACAGTAGCTAGTATTCGACTTCATCTTAGATAGTATTGGCACCATATGAGTCTTCCATTTTGCTACTACACAGTGTGAAAGTACATTTCTGCTGTGACGTTACATTTCGACTCAGTTCACGTCAACATTGGTCTCTGATATAGATACTTACATCTTTCTACACATCGGTGACAACAGTCCTCTAACAGCTACCGAGGCTGCCCTGTTCAATTCGGAAATCGAAAATTGATATCAACCTTTACTGACTCGTTTACTGACTCGTTTATTCAAAATTTCTTGACCTATACTGTCTAGTATATAGTGACAGACGACACTGAAAACATACATGTTTAAGCTTTTTTTACAAAGGTAAAAAAAAGTGATATTGTGCTCATCTTCTATTCTTCATGAACCAATGTTGACAGGATATGCTCATCTAGTATTTTGAAATTCTGTGTTGCTGACCTTTGACTTGCGTCCCGGAGTCAGAGACCGGAACAACAACTTTGCCGTATAGCTACAGGCACTGTTGTCTGTATACTGTCTCATAGAAGTATATATGCTGTACGTCTGTATCTGTATCTGTATAGCCGGTATAACCGCCTTTCGGCGTAACACACCAGCTTCGCAGGCACGCGGCGCGGCGGCAGCTGGCTATATTACACCGATCGACTTGTTACGCCTAACCCTTGAACCTCTAGCTCTAGACTTTGTTTAAAGCTAGCTATCTATTGACAATGCCCCTACTGTATGTACTTGGTGACAGTGAGTTCCACTCTGCAATAGTTCTAGGAAAGAATGAATTCTTGAACACCTCAATCCTTGGTTGATAACTCTGGTACTTGAAGGCATGGCTCTTTCTTGTTCTCTTCTGGGCTGGTATTAGTAGTTGGGACATTCACCAGTTTATTAGTCATTTTGTACATCATGCATAGTCTGGACATCTATATATGATACTAGTACATTGTATTAGGACTTTCTTCTTACACAACTGGTAATGTTTCTCACCTGCTTACGTTTCGATGTCTGCCAGATATCTTCCTCAGAGCTTCTGACTGGAGTGCTTCTTCTCGCCGCTTTATGTAACCAATAATGCTAGCCAATGTCAACTCCAGTGATGAACGTTAACCGGGACGAGGGGGGATACACACTTAGCCACGTTTGGGATTGTGTTTTAGCCACAAAAGCGCCATCTAGTTTGGCTGCATACAGCGGCAAGAAGTAGTGCTAGAGAGTCAGAAGCTCTGAGGAAGATGTCTGACAGGCATCGAAACGTAAAAGCAGTTGAGAAACATTACAGTTGTGTAAGAAGAAAATCCTAGGGTGGCAAAAGATAGTATCAAATTGTCCAGTATGCATTGGTCAGAGAGGGTCCAATTGGCCACTCAAGGTGGGGATAGCGACATAAAAACGGGCTATATATAAAAAGGTAACGATCTTCTCCCATCAACCTCTGCTTGGAGTGTATGTTCTACCAGCCTCATGAATTTATTTACGGATGTGCGTGTATATATCCTTACGATATACTACGATACAAATTATGAATCTAATGCAGACCATGGCCAGTTACAGTTAATGTTACGCCAAAAAAAGCAGTTACTCAAGCAACTGGATATGATTTTGGAAACGGTCTCTGTCACTGACGAAAGCTAGTGGATACTAGCTGAAACGTCTGACCGTTTCCAAAATCATACCCAGTTGCTCGGGTAACTGCTTTTTTGGCGTATCGTATTACCTGGATGTCTAACCTTCATCGACGTACAGTTAATGTTGTCTTGGTTTCAGGTCACAGTTTTAGCGGTGCTTCTGTCGATAGGGCCCATTTCAGGCAGCACCAGGAACCCATTTCTCCCGTTCCTCACACACGACTTCTTCCCGTACCTGAAGAGCAACCAGATAGGTACATTTTAGCTTCGTTTTAGGCCTTTTAGCTTCGTAGTTCGATCCAGTTGTCAACAAACAATTCGCCGTACATGTATGTATACAGCTTTGCAGCTAAATCGGGTGCCGTTCTTCAAGTATAGTACTGACGTATTTCTGAGACGTGGCTTTCGGAAATGTTACATCAGACTGCAGCTGGCATTCACGCATAAGACATTACAACTCAGGTCTTGGTTTGTGAATTTGCTTTCAAATGTCCAATTATTAAATTATTATTATTATTTCTTTATTTCAGGCATGCCAATAGATTAAATAGATGAAGGTAGACTTCTATCTAAACATTTCTATTTCTCCATGTATCCCTCTCGGCTAGGATACTATGCAGGGTTCCTGACGAGTGCGACATTCACTGGTACTTTTCTCGGGTGTTTTATGGTAGGTATATCTTGCTACATTACTTATGTTTTCTACAATTTACTGTTGTCATAGACATGACAGAATGTAATAATTTAAAATAAAGCTCTATATATTACTTTTTTCAGTGGGGGAAGCTGTCGGACATTGTTGGGAGAAGGTAAGGCCAACAATAAAGCGTTAATGCCCCGCCCCGAGGTGTACATGGTGAGATAATCCCGGGTAAGGTGCGATAACTACCGACTAAATCACCGAGTGTGCGTAGCGAATATCCGACCACTTTTGAAGTTGCGGCCTGATAACCAATGGGAAATGGAGCCTTCTGATTGGTCGACGTCTTCTGGCTATATATTATGATATCCTTTAATCCATTTACAAAATATGATTCGTTAGATCAGCATGCCATGAGCATTTTTAATGTGTGTACGAAACATGTTTTACGAGTCATAATAAGATATTAGTATATGATATGGTATACTGTAGTGCAATAGTGGGCCCAATAGTGACGTGGAACTGATAATATATGAGTGTGTTTCTTGCTGCCCAGACCCATCCTGTTGAGTTCGGCCACGGCGCTGCTGGTAGGCACGGTGCTAGTGGGCTTCAGGTGAGAACTTCAGCGACCATCTTTATTTTTTTCGTTATGCCATACAGCATTTTCTTGAAGAAAAGCTCATTGTCACATTTATATTTACCAAAGGAAAACATATTGCTTTTGCTCGGATTCCTCTTCTTCTTCTCCCAACCAATAAGGTCAATGACCTGAACCAGACGTCTGTCACCATGGTAACTAGTGTCGGGTTACATCATGTTGCAATTTTATAGCAGGAGGGAGTTATACTCCTGTCTGACCATGTATATGAATGTGCAAAAAATTAAAAGAGCAGACCATATGCGAAGGTAAACATGATGCATTTGCTTTGAAAATGTTGCCATTCTAGTCAAGAATGTTTGCAATAGCCTAGTTTAACTCCTTTTGCAAATTTTGCCACGCCTTATCCTAGGCCTATTCAGTGATTCTGGAAGAAAGCTCATCAAATGTTCGGCTGTATTCATCGAGATCAAAATAAGCATTTCGATATATGTATTGAAAAAAACTTACTTTATTATTCGTCAGAAAAACAACATTGCAGGCTGAAACAGCCTGAATTGTGTTGTACATTACGCCAAAAAACAGTTACTCAAGCAACTGGATATGATTTTGAAAACGTCAGACGTTTCAGCTAGTATCCACTAGCTTTCGTCGGTGACCAGAGGGGAAATGCAGGGTCTTCCCCTGCATTTCCCCTTTGGTCTCTCAGTCACTGACGAAAGCTAGTGGATACTAGCTGAAACGTCTGACGTTTTCAAAATCATATCCAGTTGCTTGAGTAACTGTTTTTTTGGCGTATCGTATTACCTGGATGTCTAACCTTCATCGACGTGTGTTGTACATTACATGTACATTCACATTTACAGTTGTAACATTTCAGCGTTAAAAGATTAAGTGTTAAAAGAAGTATATCCGATAATGTATCGTACCAACACGCGTGAGTTTTCTAACACATCCTGACCGATTGACATGTTTCCTCCGATCAAGTTTCTCCTTTCTATGGGCCGTCGGTGTGCTGTTTTTCGAAGGACTTCTGAACGGCACGCTGGGTGTAGCCAAGACGTACCTGTACGAGGTGAATGTCGTTTACGTACCTGATTTTAATGGATGCCAGTTTCCAAGCTGAGTCAATACCTGCCAAGAAAAATATTCGACTGGACCTTAGGTTCGAAGTGTGGCTAGATAAGTTATTATGTTTACCGAAGGAAAAGATATTGTTTTTGTTACGTTTCCTCCTCTTCTTCTTCTCCAAACAATGACCTGATTTGTTGACGTCTGTCACCATGGTAACTGGTGTTACACCATGTTGCAATTTTATAGAAGGAGGGATTTAGACTCATGTCTGACCATATATGTGAATGTGTTTGAGTAAGAATTAACAGAGTAGACCATATGCGAGGGTAAACATAATGTATTTGCCAAGGCAATTCCTAGCTCGTGCCAGTTTCGTACACATAACCTTTATAAACTGATAGACAATCCTGTGTTCGAAACGCATCTCTGATAACTCGTCCTCTGTATCGTGTTTTTATCTGCAGATTTGTCCTCCTAAGTTCCATTCATTTGCCTTTTCGTATACCTGGCTTCCTGACAATGTGGCCCACTTTGTGGTAAGTACATCTGTGCACAATATGTAAATAAAGAAACAATTTTTTTTAAATACCTTTCATGTGATGATCTTTGCAGCTGGTAGAATTTTTGTTTACCAACAATCTAATCAATGTCGTTACGCTTGCCTAGGGCCCGATACTGGGTGGATTTTTGGCCTGTCCAGCTACAAGATTCCAGACGTTCGACAAACCTTTCTTCAAGCAGTTCCCGTACCTGCTGCCCTGCGCCGTAGTGGCGTGTTTGCAGCTCTGCATTCTGATAGGTCAGTTTGGGCGTGACGTATACGTCTAAGTCGTACTTGATTGGTCGCCACCAGCGTTTATATTTTCTTGCATGTTTGCAGTTCTTCATTCTGATAGGTCAGTTTGGGCGTGACGTACACGTATAAGTCGTATTTGATTGGTCTCCACCAGCGTTTAAATTTCCTTGCATGAAAGAGTCTGATTTCACCTCTTATGTGTATCCGATTGTCTCAAAGCACAGTTTCGCAATGTGTGTTCGACTGTTCAACTATACATCATTTTGACTACTATAAAAATTTTCACAATTAACAGGTGGCTGCATTTTTCTGGGCGAATCTCTGGATAAAAAACCCAAGGTTGATTATATCAGTTTGACCAAAATATCTACGCAAGACGCGGATGAAGACGACAAGGAAAAACCACGCCGTAAGTAAATATTTTACTTATAAGTAAAACTGTTTTATCTACAATTTAGTCTACATGTCCTTCTTGTGTTAAACCTCTACCATAAAATAATAACCATAAACAGATGTAAACGTTTTTCTACAAATGTGCGGAAACACACACAGACAGACAGACACACCAAAACAATACCTCCATTTTTTCATGGAGGTAATTAAGAATGGCTAAGACACAAATTCGTTTACAGAAATTTTCATCTACGACAATTCATTCTATCGTAAAGGCGCTAAAATCCTACGACCAGTTGTGCTAGTACGTTTTAAAAAACAGGTAAAACTGTTTTCTCCACAGGACAAGAGGAGTCCACGTGCAGCCTGCTGCGGGACAGACTGGTGCTGATCCCCTGTGCGCTGTACGCTCTCTTCGCATTGGTGACCATCTGCGGCGTTCAGGTAAAGCCTCTGTCACACATTCACGAATTTGACCAATCCCAAAGCAGAGCCTACGGTGGCAAGACAGTATCTATTAGCAAGAGGAGTGTCCTTTTTCCCACCGAAGCAAATGGACACTCGTCAGGCCAATGGATACCGTAGGATCTGCTTGGAGGTTAGAATTTGGCCTCCCGAACACTAGGCGCAAAATTCATTGGTGTTCGGCGAGGCTGGTGACAAGTAACGTTAGATGTTTGCGCGTTCCTACGTTGTTTGATTCTTCAAGAGTTTCCTGTATCTACCGGTTTGTTTCTATAAATTGTGGTCATCCAGTAGTCTCTACCGGGCTTCATGAGGCGGCTTGAAGAGTAGAAATGTGCCAAATAGACTGTGAGATAACATGCCAGGGAATCGCTCCGCGTTAGAGTACATTTGGGAGCCACCGTACCAACTCCCCGCCATGTTATCTCTCTTTTTGGCCAATTTCTACTCTTCCAGCCGCTTTCCGAAGCCTGGTAGAGGCTTGTCATCCAGAGTCCTTCGTTAAGAATGGCGAGAAATATGACAACAGGTAGTTTAGGTTCCTTGTCGGTGAACTAGACGATGTGTACTGACGTCTTGTTCTGTATTTTTACCACCCCTGCAGTTGTTACCCCTCCTCCTGGTGTCTGACTCCCAACATGGCGGCTACAACTTTGACGCTGCGGAGATTTCCATCGTCCTGACCACTATCGCCATCTATGGAACCGCCACGCATGTACTTGTATTCACTTCTTCTTTGACATTAAAGAACAAACATAAACACAGGTCATTGATACGACGCCACCTTGCGTGTTTTCATCAAACAGCAATTTTATAGTTTAGCCGAATCGTGCTTGGACACGATTTCGAAGGAACGTGTAGCATACACGTGGACCAGATGAGAGGTATGCGATTTACCAGAATCGCGCTTCCACCTATTTCGTCTAAACAGGGCCGTATATTCCGTATCCGTTCTCGCCTCCCAGCATCTGTCTTCAATTTTCTAAAGAAATGCACATATGTCTTGAGCCGGGGTCATTTGTCAATTGTTAGATTGCGCAATTGCCATAATATGTTTAATTTCTGTATGACATATAATTATACTACTAGTATACGACATGACAGTTTTTTCTCTGTGTGTCTCTCTCTCTCCTTTAGGCAACGTTAAACCCATACATAGCGTCTAAGTTTACATACAAGACGGTGTTCCTGTCTGGAGTTCTGTTTTACGCAGTGGGTATCAGCTTGCTTCCGTCCATGGTCAACATCACAGGTGCAGTAAGGAGTCAACAACTTCTCCAAACAGCGAACTCTAGCGATTTGACACTGAACTTCACGGCTGCTCCTGAGCAATTTTCGACCTCGCCACTAGTAACAGAAAGTTACATACAGCCAACGACAGAACTGAACGCGACAGTAGTTACCGGCCAGTGTCGGCTAGCCGGGGACAGGAGGAAGACCTCCCAGCATCAGGCCTCAGAACTACCCGCCAGAGTCTGGGGTCCACTGCTGGCTGTTGTATTGGTGATGGAACAGGGAACGTAAGATACTTTGCTACTACGGTAAAGTAGAATTTTTGTCTTAGGGGTTCTTTATCACCTTCGCCAAGAAATTTATGTTTTCAGTAGCGTTTGTGTGTGTGTGTGTGTGTGTGTGTGTGTGTGTGTGTGTGTGTGTGTGTGCGCGCGCGTGTGTGTGTGTGTTTAGCACGATAACTCAAGAAGCTTTAGATGGATTGTTATTAAACTTGGGAGGTGGGTAGGTCTTTATTAGACCTAGAAATAATTAGATTTTGGGCTCGCTGGCGGCTTTCCTACGTACTGCAGCAGAACTTCCTGTTTTGATATCTCGTGATCTAGACATGCTTGGGTCACGAATCTTGGATGGTAGATAGCTCTTGGACTAGGAAAAAAGGGACATTAGTTTGAACCCCCTGGCAGCTTGTTTTCTATAGTATTGATAACTCACAAGAGTCCGGGACATGAGATGTGTAGTCACCGAAAACTGATAGCCTTATACTCATTTTTGTTACGAAGTAAAATTGTGGTGGCCATTTGAGTAACACTAGGATATAGGGTACATGAAATATTACTGAAAATATACAGTCAGACGAAAGGAAATTCCCAATTTTTCCGACAATCGGGTATGGATACTTTTTGTAGGTAATTCTTCGGATGAATGGATTTCCTTAATCTTTCAGCGCACAAACATACCTGGCCGTCACTGTGATGGTAGGAAACGCCGGTGTGGTGAGTATCATATCTACTATATCATTGTGTATTTCCCAAAGATTAATTAACAACCGAAACATATACCCTCAAATGGAACAGCAATAAAAGACATTGGAATCAGATGTGCTTGGTATAAGAGTCCCGCATCAGTATGAATGGGAATTTTATTGCCCACAATTTCAGTATAAAGTCAGGTAAATGCTGATGTTTATAATGATGTCCTTTTATGTCGGCAAAGCAATCCAACCGGGGGACAGTTAACGGCATCGCGCAGACCCTGGCGGCGCTGTCCCGGCTGGTGGGACCGGCGGTGAGCGCCAACCTGTTCGCCTGGACCACCGATAACGGTAGGGCGGCAGCTCACTTGTACTTCATATCTATCTGCAACACGCGTAGGAATTTTGTCGAAAGTTTTAAACTTTTGATCCGACACAAAGAACTATATATCTAGAGCTAGAGTCACTCTGGTCTTCCTCAGTAGACTGACCGAGTGAGACTTGTCACGTGACTTCTTTGAAGTGTGGCGTCAACACTGGGTCAAAGGTAGCTGGTAGACTATATCCTCATTGGGTAGACTATGTCGCCCCCCGTCGCGGTTGAGTATGTCCATGCAAGTACGGTATACAATGGCAAATGTAAAATGTCCCTGGTACATGTAACTACCAACACAGATGAACTTTCAAAGACGGAAGGAAAGTTACCGGTGAAGTAACCTGATCAGTTTTCAATCCACTAAACTTTCTTCTCCCTCTGATCATTTTGAGAAAGACACATCTGTAAACTGATTTTCTCTTTCCTTTGTTGGCAGGGTTGCCCTGGCCGCTGGATCACCACCTGTCCTTCTATCTGGTGGCCGTCCTGTGTATCCTCGTGGCGGTCCTATGTGCAAGTCTACCGGCTTCCAGCAACCTGCCCAGGGCCGACAGTCTGACATTATCAGAGGGAGAGGACGAGAGGGAAGAAGACCAAGAGGAAGAAGAAGAGGAGAAATTAAGTATGCATTTTAGAACACGCGATGGCAAGACTTGGATTGATGGCATAGATGATAATGACGACTTTGAAACTAATTATCTGCTTCCTCCAAATGTTACTTAGATCCGATGTAAAGATCTCGAAACGAATCATTTTCTATAGACTGACCCTCAATGAAGGACTCCGACATCAGAAGACAGTGTAACAAACATCAGCCCATCACCCCACCCCACCGGCCAAGGTCATATTGCACACTTCTCACAGAAGGTTGAAACGAAACTTCGGTCCATTGACAGGCAAATAGGCAGGTGAAATGAGTACTGTGTTGGTGGCAGTATAGAAATGAGTTGAAAAAACTTGAGTGTGCCATCACCACTTCTTACGAGTACATCTTCCTGGAATAATTAAAAAAAAACTTAAGAAAAAAAAACACCGTCACATTTGATCGACGTTGTTTTTGTTTTGCACACAGAGACCGCATCTCAAATGGTGAACAGTGCCAAGCAATAACACATCCAAATGAAGACCTCTTGACCACAGAAAACTGGTGCCGAAGTGGCATGGGAATAACTGGTGACGGGATAAGAACACAACTTGATATACTGTACCTACCTTCTGGTGGCGTCTTCTAGCGTCTGTTCCAACACAACGAAACTCACACCTTTCCATGTTCACAAGTTATGCTGAGGTCACATTTCCAAACCGGGGCCCGGCCGTGCAGTCTTATGGAACGAAAAGTACGATATAAAAGACAATAAAACACAGAAATTTTTTGATAGTAATCATGGGCACTATTTCTGTATATTCTTTATACGAACTGTTAGTTTTCGTTCATACAAACAACCCGACCGGGCCCCGGTTTGGAAATGTGACCTAGGCATTACCCCCATTTCCTTGGTCATAAACTCTCCTATTTGTAGATCTGTCCAAATGAGAATAACACTCCACTTCGAACATTCTCAGCGAGGACACATCTTGCTACTTCCACTGAAAGCAAATCACCATTTCTTCCTCCATACACCACCTCTTAGGAGGAAGTTCCACTCTTAAAGCTTCTTTCCTAGAACAACATCACTATTATGGAACAAGCTGCCACGTGATTGTTTCCCATATGGGTATAACCTTACAATTTTTAAGTGTAAGGTCAACAAACATCTGTCCTCACTATCTGTACAGTAACCCAAAACATTTGAGTGGTTCCCATGAGCCTTGTTTTGTGGTGAACATGAAGTAAATTAAAAATAATAGGCATCATCCTTACATACCTACACACTGTCTTATATGCCTAATTTCTAGCTAATACGTTACAGGATTCTAAGAGCAGAATACAGTGACAGAAACACATACCTTTTATAATGTACACATGTGTATTGTCTATTGACATTTCATTTTAAGAAATACAAACAGACACCGCTTGGTGAATCTTCATCGCATCTTTATTTATTCAATCAAGGTTCTTGATATTATGTACAAAACATAACATAAAAAAACATAAAAAAATATGCCACAATATCAGAACATAACAGGCACAAGTAATTCGTAGCCAGCTCGACCGCTAAAATATCACAGATTATCTAATACAACAACATAGAGCGTAATCTGTGTACCAGCTGGTGTTCTAGGAAAAGCGTAGATACAGTGGCTATAGTGCATGGATTTAGCCGGAGCAAGCTTTCCCGAATGTAACGCAATATGTAGCCGCTGCCGTTGTGAATTTTAATAGCGTAGAGCGTTGATAGTTCGACCCCCTAACCCCCTTCAAGAGCTATCCTATATTTCCGAAAGGTTTGGCCAGCTTTTACCCTTATAGCTTTACCCCGTAATGCATGTACGATCTGCAAGGAGCGCCCGTGTGTGGTTTTCACCATACTGTGTGTGTTAAACATTGTGCGGATGGCGTTCAGCACCAAGGACAGGCACTGTTTGCACGGAAACATGTGGTGCGCGTACATGTACTGATTAGATTAGCAAATTTCGGCTACTACACGTTCGTTACCAATACTTGTTGCTGCTGACGCTACCTGTGTGTAATTTTGACACAGACTAGTCCGAAATGGTGGACAGAGAACCGTTATTTTTGAGGGGATTGACTCTTGGTGGTAAAGTAGTTGTGGTTATCAGGGTAGAAATTTAGACCAGCTGTTGTGCGCCCCTGTGTAAAAATCACACGTGGTATCGCCCACGCAGTCTGTGTCTGCTGGTGACACGCGAGGAAGAGTAGGAACTATTTTTAACTTCTTGGTAAATTTTTAGCTTCTGGTTCGAAAAATATTCATCCTAACGTGTAGAACAAATCTTCGGGGATGTTTCCACGGCGGAGTTGTGCCGTTTTCTGTAGTTTTGACGGATAAAAATGTGCATTTCCCGACCTGGTGGATTTTTGGAGAAGACAAGAAAATGGCGCCCGTTGGAAGGAGGACAGCGTGGTCGGGGGGAGGGCAGAGTTTTCACAAGGTAAGACAAGAAACCATGTCGTCAAATTGGTTTCCTACAAACTAGTACCAACACGTTGCGGTATATTCCTGGTAAATTTGTGTGATTTTGAGAATACAAGTCGGGCTAATTTTTAGTTTTTTTGTCGTTTTTTTTTATTCGCTGTTTTCTTCACTCTTCACGTCTTCTCTCGGAATATACTAGGTATTACTACTTTTCGAGTTAAATTTTGAAAGGGAAAAAATAAACGTTACTTTGTTTCTGCATGTAGTACTGAAGTACTGAACGAGTTCTTCGCTAGTGTCTTCACGTCTGAAGACTTGACTAGCATCCCTAGTATCGACAGACTACAATCTCCACCCTTGATCCAAGACTTTGAATTCACTGAAGAATTGGTGTTGAAGAAACTGACAGAGTTAAACCCGTCCAAATCCTCTGGTCCTGACGGTATCCATCCCAGGTTCCTGAAGGAGATGGCTCATCACCTAGCCCTACCCCTGTCCATACTGTTCAATAAGTCAATGGAGGCAGCTGAGTTACCTGAAGGTTGGAAAGAAGCACATGTCTCACCCATCCACAAGAAAGGGAGTAAAACAGCACCAGGGAATTACAGACCAGTCAGCTTAACCTCAGTGATTGGTAAACTGATGGAGTCCATCATCCGGGATAAGCTTGTGGAACATATGATGGAGTTCAACCTCTTCACAGATGCGCAGCACGGGTTTGTGCCGGGGCGCTCATGTATGACCCAGCTCCTAGTAGTTATGGAAGAATGGACCAGGTTGTTACAAGAGGGGAAGCCACTAGATGTTGTCTATTTAGACTTTAGGAAAGCGTTCGACACCGTTCCTCATGTTAGACTACTCCGGAAGCTGGAGAGATACGGTGTGGGTGGCAACATAAGGAACTGGGTTGAAGACTTCCTAAGACTGAGGAAGCAACGGGTAGTGGTAAACGGACAGTTTTCGTCTTGGAGGGAAGTCAAGAGCGGCATTCCGCAGGGTAGTGTCCTTGGACCAATTCTGTTTGTGATCTACATAAATGACCTACCCGAGGCAGTGGCTAGTGGAATAAAAATATTTGCGGACGATAGTAAACTGTACAAAACTGTCCATGACAAGACCGGAGAAGATGCACTGCAGCAGGACCTAAACACAGTGGGGGAATGGTCACAAGCATGGCAGTTTACTTTTTAACGTTACTAAGTGCAAAGTGCTCCACTTAGGAAGAACCAACCAGAAAGCAGCTACAGTCTGGGAGGACAAACCATTGAAGAAACGGTGGAGGAGAAAGACCTTGGCGTAACAATAGACAACCAGCTCTCATTCCATTCACATACAGCAAAAGCGGCAAACAAAGGAACCAAGTCTTGGGTTTGATTTAAGAGGACCTTCTACAACTTGGACAAAGACACAGTCCCTACACTCTTCAAGACCATGGTACGCCCCCACCTGGAATATGGGAATGTAGTCTGGGGACCCCACTACTCCCTCGACCAGCAGAAAGTGGAGGCGGTGCAGAGAAGAGCTACAAAACTAGTGTCTGGGCTCAGGGAGCTCCCCTACAGTGAGAGACTAAAGAGGCTTAGACTACCGTCCCTGGGATATAGAAGAAGAAGGGGAGATATGATTCAGGTGTTCAAGTTCCTGACTGGGCAGGAAAGGGTACAAGCAGACAACTTCTTTGAGTTAGCAGGGGGTACAACAAGAGGCCACAACTTCAAGTTGAAGGTACCATTGGCCAAGTCAAGGAGTAGACAGCATGTATTCAGTGTGAGGGTCATCAAAGACTGGAATTCGCTGCCGCCGACTGTAGTATCCAGTGAAACAGTCAACCAGTTTAAAACGAGATTGGATCGACACTGGGAGCACCTGAAGTACGAAGAAGGCGTCTAAGACCAGTCCACAACAGGCGGGAAGAAGCCTTACTCGACTGTAGACGGTATCAAGGTATCAAGGTATGTATACTTATATATGTATACTTATGCATGTCTAAGATTTGTCCCCCTTGTCTGTGTAACTGAAAGGAAACATCGTTGGAACAGGGCTTGAAATACTGGGTGCACCCAAATTTGGAGCTGTGCACCCAATTTTTTTTCTGTGGGTGCACCAGTGCACCCAAATGTTTTTTGTAGGTTTACGTTTATGTCAAGATGTTAAACTTAGAGTAGTACTAGTATTCAGCATATTCTTAACGTCTAAGTGTCAGAAAAATAGTAAAATCATTCTTGTAACTTCTTGTTTCTTTAGAAACAAAACATATAATTAGTTTTTGCTGACATTCTACTTATTTTATCTTATTTGGTGCATCCACAGAAAATTTTATTCACCCAATTTTTTAGGTTTGGTGCACCAGTGCACCTATTCCCAAAAATGAATTTCGAGCCCTAGGCCTGTTGGATTATTTGTGAGACTTTTCCCCAATGGCATGGAAAACACTAGACCGTGCCTGTTGAAATGTTACAAAACAAAACCACTTCTATTTGCTGTTTCCTGGATTTGCCAGCTTTTTCCTGATTTACAACAAAAACATGTACATGTAATTAATAATATTCAGGTTCTTTATCAATCCAAAAATTGCTAATTGTTTGGCCCTAACCTAACAGTTTAATCTAAGTCTGTTTTTCTACATAATTATTTTATTGATTTGTTTAAACGTTCAAAATTCATTGTTTGATTTTAAACCAGCCCAGTATGTCATGACTGCTTTGGTAGTATTTAGGGCTTTTGAAGGATACCTAGGCTTGTTTTTTTAAAGCTTCAAGAGTGAACCTAATAGGCATATGTCCACTCCACTAAGAATGAAGAATTTTAGCTATTGCATGGGAATTTCTGTCATGTTGGTACACACATCTGTGTATTGGGCCACACCAATTAATTATTGGTTCTCGGATTCGCCTCTTAATTTTTTTTCTGATTTGCAAAAAAAATTCTGGTTCTGAATCAACTAAAAAATGCTCATATTTTGCCTCCATCGTAGTTCCTTCATCTATCACTGCAGTGGTTTGATTAAAAGTTCAAAATTCATTGTTTAAATTTTAACACAGCCTTTTGTGTTGACTTCATAGCTCCTATTGTGGCATTTGGGGCTATAATAG